AAATATTATATGAACAGTTATACACCTTGCTTAACTAGAGGCTGCACTTCCACGGGAAGAATACATATCGGAATGGTGAAGTCATTCGGTTACAACTAGTAGAATTCAACTAAAACTTCTCCAGATAAGGAAGTGCATTTAAACAGAACAACCTCAATACTGATTGTAGAAAATTTATATGCCAAATCCACCCATCTAAAGCAAACATTGTCAGTCTAAGATAATTAAGTAATCAACTAACCTCGCCAAGAATGTGAGCGCTAGAGTGCCAAAAAGTATCACGCCCTTCATCGCTATCGAAAGTAAACAATTTCAACTCGCAATCGGCTTCCAATGGCCTCTTCATATCCCACAACACTCCATTAACTTGAGAGATCAACGCATTAGATGCCAAACTCTTGGAAATCTCCTTTGCAATGTCCAGCGGACTCGATGACCATCTCTTACCTTCCTTCACTGTCCCATCCGGCAAAGTAACCCTAACAAGTAGAAATATCCAGAACTAGGGTCAAACTCAGTACCACAAACAAAAGAAAAGCAAACAAAACCTAACGCTCTTCAACTTTCCGCCCCGCTATCTTTACCTGATAGAGTCATGAGGGAGGGAATCGAGATGGGACTTCTGCTGCGACTGGATCGCCTGGAAGAGCTGGATGCGCTTGGGAATCACTGCACCAAGGTACATTTCATCTTTAGGATGCCCCCCGGGAGTAGCCATGGCAATTCGGGCGAAGGGAAGCGATGAGAAAGCGCGCCGGCGTGAAGCGGAGTGCAATTTCCAGAGGAGCGAAACCAGCATCCAGTTACCCTTCCTAAATGAACACCATGTAAAAATAAAGACATAGTGAGGAGAAGAGGCAAATAAACATAGAAACATCATCAGGAAATCATAACATCTACAAAACAAGGTGGATGGCAAAAGAAGTCTAGTGAAACTACAGTAGACATTAGACAATTACTCTCCATTGCTCAAACTTCTTCTCATCACACTTAAAAGCAGCTAGTCTACAAGTCCTCATACTTCATGTATCATAAAAGGGAAGAAGAATAAAGGAAGAAGGCAAAAATATGAGACCTGAATTAAAACAGTTATGAGTGAATCAGCCTACAGGGTGCTCGTCATGCAGAATGAATGACATTTGAAATCTCCTGGTATCGACAGATACGAACAGAAAATATCAGCATACCAAAGTGAAGACATCACATTATTCTTAGGGCAGACTTAGGGTACTCTGACACTAAATCACCTAAGAAAATTTTCAATCAGCACACTAACAGAATTTAGAGAGAGAGAGAGAGATTATATGACCGCCAGTTGCTATAAAATTCCATGAAATAGCAACCATTATCACAACCAAAATGAAAACATAACTTCATGGTTTTGAAAGGACTATGTATGAGAACTTCCACCAAAGTACATCATAACTCATCAGCCTTACTGAAGAAAAATTAGTTTCAGCAAGTCTACCTACCACTAAGGTCCAGTAGATTAAAAAAAGCTGGGCAATTCCCAATCCTCAGCAAGTCTACTTACCATTACAGTCCAGTAAATTCAAAATGCTGACAAATTTGTTAGAGAAGCTAATGGTCGACTCAACAATCATATATGCTGGACAAATTTGCTACTTGCATTTTTTTATCCCCCACCCAAAAGATTTAGCATTTCTACCAGAAAAATCCAGTGAGCAACTGAAGATGATGGAGTTCAGGGACCTAAAACTGGGTATTTTGTGTCATCCCTAATCGGTCTCGTTCTCGTTAAAAGAGACTTTCAAACATGCATCATTTTCTTTGAACCTCGAAGAAATTCCATATTAACATAATAACCAAATGTGCAGCAGATGGAAGTTCTGAGTTCTTCAAACATCTTATGATCACCAATAAAGGACCGACCTTTTCCGCTCGAGCACACATATAGACCAACATGCAATCATAGAGCTAAAAACCAATCATCAAATCACCACAAAAATCTCGCAATGAGTAGTTCAACTTCACTAATCGCACCTAGAATTCCAAACAGCCGACATTGAAGATATCTGCAGCATTCAAGATTTGATTTTTGATTTTGACAATTGATGATACTAGTGGTCACCATACTGGACTTGATCCACCAGCTTTTTACCACTTACATCAGGTTGCCAAACACAGAAACCCTTCTCACTAGCCACAGCATGAAATCTCCACACATCACAGAAAAAAAGGAGTTGCAAACTAACAAAACCTCTAGTACAAATTCAAGCTTGCAACAATATAATTAGTACTCAATCAGTACTTAAGCAGAAACAGTTGGAGATAATAAGGGGAAGAGCATTACCCGGAGGCTGAATAAAAATTTAGTGATCGAGTGTCTGCAAAAGCTGCCGTGAAGAGCTGAGCGGCAGCGATAATGAGCAGGCAGCGATAATGAGCAGGCAGCAATAAATAGCCCGACGCCGCTCTGCTCGTCTGTCCTTGAACCGCCGGCGGGAAGTGGAATAGAGGAGAAGAAACGAAACCTCGGGTTGCTGGATTTTTGTAAAATGGGCTTATCTGATTCGGTGCTTGCTAGCTGGGCTTTTAAAGGCCCATTTATTTCAGACCTTTCCTCTTACAAGGCTGAGACCATCACAAGGTTCTTCAGTCTTCAGGGATCCCAAGTTTTACCTCAGCCCAAAGCTCAAGCTCACCAAGTAAAGGTATAGCGAGTCCAGAAATCATTTTACTGTAAATGCGTTTAAATGGCTGTTAAAACTTTTCGTTTGGATTGAGTATTTGGGGGTGTTATTTGAGGTCAAATAACACAAAATCTGTTATTTAACCCCAAATAACATGTTTGGCTGACAAAAAGTGGGATGTGTTATTTGCATGTAGTGTTTTGCCAAATAACAGGTTTGAGACCAAATAACACAAAAAGTGTTGTTTGCCAAATACTTGGGAAGGGGCAGGTATTTCCCAAATAACAAGTTTGAGACCAAATATCACATACCAAATAACAAGTTTTATATTATGTGGTATTTGTGTGGTAATTGGCCCCAAACAACAAGTTTATCAAATACTCAATCCAAACGACCCTAAAACTATTGTCCTGTGGTAGCCCAGCTCAGTTCCAACGGGTTGGGCAAAGATATGATATGATACACATCAGACTTAATCGACTCGAATCGATGTTTACTGTAATTTTGAATCGTACTTTACTATATTATCGAGATCGAAATCAAAATGATTTATTCTCGAATTCAACCAACTTCTGATTCTAACTAAAAATAATCGTATTTTATTTGAATAAAATAATGTCAAAATAATCGTATTTTATCCATCATTTAATCTTTATTGTTATGATGTTCAAACTTCAGTGGGGAAACGAAATGTCTGAAAATGCAAAGTCAACTTTTATTTTCATGAAAGTCTTATAAAATGTGGTTGTGAATTGTGAGTCTGTTTCCTGAACTAATTCAACAATATATTTCCAACTAGTTGTGAGCCGGCCCATTGGCCGGATAAAATGATAAACTGATCTCAAGACAGGTTATGGTTTTTTGGGTGATGACTAATTAAATGAATCCATGCCTACAGAGCCTCCTATTCAAATAAGTACTTCTCATAGAGGTTCGGTTGAATGCTCAAATCGATTTAAGTCATTGAGCCAGTCTAGTAAAAGTAAATGATGTAAGGTTCAATAGTGTACTCGACATTTAACCTATTTGAGCCGTTTTATACATTTTCTAAATATATGCAAACAATGAAATAATTTGAATGTTTAATAACTAAAATGAAATTTACTTTAAATATAATTATTAGAAATCACCTCCCAATAAAAAAAAAATTTACATGACCCACCCACCATCCTCCTTCCCTCTCTTTTCCATCTGTTTTTCAACTTCTCTAATGGTCAGTTCACGAATTTTTTGAGACCGTATTGGAGTCAAAAAATGATCGGACCAGGCCAGTAGAGGTTTAACAACCTTGGTTGAAAGGGGAAAAGTTTGTGCCCATAGTGGATTAGAAAGCTAAAGTGCAAAAGTATGGTCAGTTGTTTTTTTTTTTTTTTTTTTGATGAATAAGTATGGTACTATAGTGAGGGGCTTGGCATTCATTTAGAGCCTTAACATAAATTATATAAGATCTATTCAATATTGTCCCAAGAGAAAGCAAATGTAAAGTTATACACAGTTTGAAATATGTAGATACAGTTTTCTCTTGGGCGCAACAGAGCCCAATTCCATGTATAACTACATGAGACAAATAGAACAATGTATGTACACGTCAAGCGTGAACTGAATCTCCGATCAACTTATGTGATAAACAAATCTGGATTACTTATGAATCGACAAATTACCGTTGCATCTTAAAAATTTAATATTTATGCCATGGGCTACAGCAGAAAGAATTATATGTTTTCCACTAAATTTCAACTATATATCTCCTCGCATAGATGCATCCGTCAATTTTTAGAAATAATGAGCACACAATTTAGATTGATTGTTGCGGATCCAATCTAGCCGCTCAGCTTCCCCCATAGCATGTGTTTAAGACATATTAATGAAATAATTTTCTCCCAAACTATAATGAATTGGACTCCCCAACACGTGTCTGAATTCGATAGCTATAATAATCACACTATGAAATAGTCTGCTCTCCTTCACCATTTGCCTCATTTTGATGATGATACGTAAAATCTGAATGCCACAATACCCGGTCCAAATGTTTCTTCTCTTGTTTCATCAAGAATTAGTGCAACAATTTCATTAGTCGAAGATAAATCATACTCTCTCCTGCAACTTGATCGACTACCAATCAACTTGAGCTGAATTTGTTGAACATCATCTTCATTTATCCGATCTAGTGCACTATGAAATGTCTCATCTTAAAATTATACTCATTGAACATCTCTTGCGGTCCTTGAACAATTGATAACCACGAATTCCAAGTTCATGAGGGACTTAAAGTTTAGACGCATAACTGCATAAGTGAAAATGTGTAAAAGAATCACCGTTTGTGTACGCAGTAGTAATGGGATTTGAAGCTGAAAACAAATTAACCACAGAGCATAAAAATCCTAAGTATGGAAAGTGTACAGTACCGTGTGCTCCCACCAAAAAGCTGCTCTGGTTTTTCCCTATCTAATTTCCTTTTTCTTCTGATTTCCCTCTGCATTTCTTTGAGAGTAAAGCATCAGTAGAACTCACGATTCTGTCGGTTGTTTTATTTAAAATAAGAGGAGATTGACGGAAATGAGAAAAAAACAAAGGTACAGAAAGAAGCAAAGGAAAACCTGTTACCACTCCGATATGGTTTGATTCGGCAAGGACAGGGAGTTGAGGTTTAGAGCGCCCGAAAACAAAAATCACTGGAAGGCAGAGGGTCTTGAAGATGAGGGCCAGCTGGTGAAGCACTGAAGCTCCGCTAGATTGTGGGATTTCGTTCACTATCGAGGCCAAAATCAACAGTTGAAGGCGGGGATCCCAGTTCGCAAATGAGAACCAAATCAAATGGCTTTGGCCTTTGGGTTACAGAAGCGAGAAAAAAAAAATCTAGGTTTGGGTAGCAATCTCCTCCAGATCTTTCAAATCATAGCTTAGTTACTCTCAGGTCATTGGCGAGTCTGTGCAATCTAATCTCACTGTCGGTGGCTTCTAAATAAAAAAGCATTAATTATGTAAGCTGTGGGATGGAAGAGAATGAAAATCAAAAGCTATTGACTATTGACTATTGAGCATTGTGTCCGTGAAAAGAAAAGGGGAAGAAGGCTAGGGATCGAGCAACTGTGAAACGAAAAACAAAACACAATCCGGCAGCAAAAAAAAGTATCCAGCATTTACAATACTACCCTTGCCGAAAGTTAAGGAGAGAAGCGGAAGTTTGAATTGGCAAAAATCTCACCAAAGTCTACCATATATTAATGGTGGATTAACAAAAAATTTTATTTTCATGACATAGACATACTGTAATATCCCGAACTTTGTCCTGACGAAGATATTGTCCGCTTTGGGCCTCGACTGCACGTGGGCACCGGGTCGTGCCGCCCACGGGTTAGCACGGCACGGTTAGAACACTGCATGAGCACGGGCACGAAATAAGGGGCCCAGCCTGGCACGAGCACGAATAATATATGGGCCGTGTCGGGCCTAAATTTTATGGGCACGAGCACGGGCACGGCACGGTATATAAGTGAGCCGTGTCGGGCCTAATATTTTCGAGACTTTATTGAGTATAAGAATGAATGGACATGGCACGAAAATAATATTTATTTGATAGAAAATAAATATAAAAATTATAGGTTCAAATATTACAAAACACAAGTAGAAAAATAATTATCTGTTGTTGTTAGAAGTGTCATAAAGATATATATGTAATTACTAACATAAATAAAAATGGACAAAGAATTAAACAAAGTCAAATCACACTCGCTATACTTCCAATTTTCTTTTCCCCCTTATTTGTTACTTTTCTTAAACATTATCGGTTAATACTATCTTCCTCCATCCAATTTTCACCTTCTTTTTCATTCTCTCTTTAGTTTTCGTCCTTTTCATTAAACACGAGTACAAGCATGGCACGAGCACGAATAGGCACGACACGATTCGAACCATGCCCGGGCCTGAGCCTGGCCTAGCAAAGTTAACAAATGGGCTTGCATGGCACGACACGAAAACTGACGGTCGTGCCAAGTACAGCACGAAAAAAATGGGCCCGAAGCGGGCCCGTGTCGGCCCAAGCACGACCCAGCCCCCATGTATAGCCTCGACCCTCATGGTTTTCGACTTGAGGTGCAATTCAAGGTGACTTCCCATAAGATCACCCATCCTTGTTATACTCCACATTGAGCACGTTTTACTTTATAGTTCTCACTAGAACTCCTCAGTTTCACCCCCAAACGAGTCTTGTCAATTAAGGCCGGTTTCCTACTTATGAACCATGGATCTCTTCTGTGCTTTGTCGATGTGGGATTTGGCTAAGGTGTTACATACACCCCACCCCACCCCCCCCCCCCCCCCCCCCCCCCCCCCCCCCCCCCCACCCCCCCTTGGGACTCAACGTCCTCATTGAGGTTTGCCCCCACCATCGTTCAAGAGGGACGCAGAGAGGCTCTAATACCACTTGTAACATCCCGAACCTTTTCCCAACGAAGATATTGTCTGCTTTGAGCCTCGACCCTCAGGTTTTCGACTTGGGGTGCAATTCAAGGTGACTTCCCATAAGGTCACTCATCCTTGTTGTACTCCATATTGAGCACGTTTAACTTTGTAGTTCTCACAATAACTCCTCTGTTTCAACCTCAAACGCGTCTTGTCAATTAAGGCCGGTTTCCTACTTATGAATCATGGATCTCTCCCATGCTTTGTCGATGTGGGATTTGCCTAAGGTGTTACACATACTATCACAAGTGGATGTGAAATTGAAAATGAAAATAAAAAGTTTACTACACATACACATTGATGAGTCGCATTCTTTCTAAAAATTTAAACTAACTTTTTTATTATCTGAGAATGTAATGGTAAAAAAATAATATGAATCATAATATGTGTGGTGTTATTTGATTCTATTATCATATTTCATTATGTGATGGTTTGGATGAATCAATTAAAAAACAAGATAATTTAACAAATTGTATCGTTTTACAAAAAAAAAAGCCATTTAAAAGGAGTTAATTTGAATTGTCTATTGTTTCATTCAAATTTTATTTTGTCAGACGGATCAATTTAACCAGATTGTCTCAAAACGAAGTAATTGAGTAAAATTTATTCGTTAGAATTCCTCTTCTGAATGACCCCCTATAACCATTCAATCCATTTAATGATTTATGTTAAAATCCCCGGTCGTGCTGGTTCTTCCTCTACACGTTCTCAATCGATGAATATATTAACAAATTGAAAAAAATTCTAATCATGATCCTCAAATCAAACCTCAGCCCCACGTGCCGCTTGAGCGATGGGGGTACCTGCATATTAATCGGATCTATTTCAAAAGAATCCGGCCCAGAACAGACTACTGGGCTAAACATCCCTTTTGGTCATCCGACCCGGAACGAAAGAATGAGTGAGTGAATAACACCATTGATGGGCCTGAAATTACTTTTGCGCTCAGTGCTCACAGAATCTCTATTCTTCTCTCCCTCTGGCAGTTCTTCCCCCAAGTCCCCAACCCCAAATATTAAACGTTGAAACAGATAAAACAGAAAGAAACTTAAAAACCCCTGCTTCCTCCAGGTTCTTCTATAGCTGTACTCTTCTTATTAGGGTTTTGTTTCTTGGGCATCTTCTCTACGAATAAATAAATGAAGGTCTCCATTAATTGCAGCTATTCTTAGGTGAGAGTGTGCCTGCTGTTCTGTTGTGGGTAGGTAGAGTTCTGGAAGATTGAATGAGTTGCCCCATTTGGGCCATGGTGCCAGAGGGGGGAGTTTAAAAAAATTAGGCAATTTCTTAACTTTTTGTTTAGCACTGAGTGAGAGTCAAAGCTCACAATTTTCCTCCACAATCAGGAATAGAGTGTCTGCGATGCTGGAAGAGTGAATGAAGAAAGATGTCAACTTGGGTTGTTTTTGAAACCCACCATCCTCGATCGTTGCTTTCTTCTTCTCCATCTCCTACTTCTTCTTCCTCTTCTGGTTCTTCGTTGCCTTACGATGGTGATTACAGCCAGAAACAGTCTTCCTCAGGTGGAAAAATAAGCCCAGCTATACTCTTCGTCATTGTAATTCTAGCAGTCGTGTTCTTCATTTCTGGTCTTCTCCATTTACTCGTCAGATTTCTCATGAAGCAGAGAGGTTCGGCTTCGATGTCTGACTCCAATCCGCAGCGGGATGTCTCTGGGAGTGATGCGTTTCAAAGACAGTTACAGCAGCTCTTCCATCTCCATGATTCTGGTCTAGATCAAGCTTTTATTGATGCCCTGCCTGTGTTTCCTTACAAAGACATTATGGGTCTAAAGGAGCCGTTCGATTGCCCCGTTTGTCTTTGTGAATTTTCTGAGAAAGACAAGTTGAGATTGCTTCCCATGTGTAGCCATGCCTTCCATATAGACTGTATAGACACATGGTTGCTTTCAAATTCGACTTGCCCTCTTTGTAGAGGTAGCCTTTATTCAGCCGGGCTTTCTTTTGAGAACCCAGTTTTTGATATGGAAGCACAATTACTGAGGGATGAAGAGGTTCAAAGCAATGCAGAAGGAAGTGGGATATTGGTGAGTGTTACAAATACAGGAGGGAAAAAGCCAGGGGAGAATGCCAGCATTATGAATTCAAAGAGGGTATTCTCCGTGAGACTCGGCAAGTTTAGGAGCTCGAATAATGAAGAGGCAGCAGCGGAGAGACGGCCGGCTGGAGAGACCAGTAGCAGTAATTTGGATGCGAGGAGGTGTTTCTCGATGGGTTCATATCAGTATGTGGTGGCTGATTTGGAGTTGCAGGTCACCCTAAGCCCTAGTAACAACAACGATAATAGCAGCAGCAGCAGCAGCAGAAGAGGTGCCACAAAAAATATGGTGAAAGGGAGAAATGGACAAATTGAAACGAATCCTTGTTGTGTAGATGGGGATGCTGATGGGAAAAGGATCAACAGTCGGAGTAAAGGTGAAAGCTTTTCTGTGTCAAAGATATGGCAGTGGTCCAGGAAGGGTAAATTGCCAAGTTCATGTGAGACCCAGATGAGCATTTCTTCTTCTGCTGCTGCTGCTACTGTTCCGGTTAGTGTTGGTTTGTTGCCATGGGGTGAACGTAGAGCCCAACATCTGGGTACATAGAAGGTGTAATAGTACTCCATCTGTACTGTTTCTTGTTACAGTATTGTTATACATCAATTGATCCTTATTGATCTTACATTCCTCTTGCTAGTTTAGCTATTACTATTTACTAGAGTCAAGAGAAGAGGCTTCCTTTGTTTGTCTTTCCACCTCCTTTTTCTTCTCTTCCTTAATAGACGATGGTATTCTTTACTGTTGCACTTTCCTTCTTTTGTTGCACTTTGGGAGCAATTGGCAACTTACTACTGTTTCCCCTCTCCACACTTTTTGTCCAAGCCTGAAAGAGATGCTTTGCTTTCTTACCACTGAAACTTTAGGGCCCCTCCCTTCGATGAAGTGAAAGTGAAGCCTTATTAACACAGAAATTAATCAGCAAGGAAACTGCAATTCCTTAGATGAGAGGAGATGTTCAGAAAAGCAGGAACCCAAAAAATAAAGGACAGGAGGTTAGATGAGATGCTTCATTTAGGTATATCAAATATCAGCTTTTTCCAGTACACACATGAATGAAGATAAGTGTGTGGAGTCGAATCACGTGTAGCATCCATCCATCATCTGGTGGCGGAGTTTTTTTCCTTCCTTTGTTGGTTGATAATGATATGTGAAACACTAAACACACAACAACTTGTTAGGGTCCTAATCCTAATGGAAGAAGGTTTGATTGATTGATTGTTGGGTACACGAAAAGCGGTTTGTGGGAGTCTTCTTCTTGTGGCCATGATTTTGTTGCAGACGAATGATGAAAGTGAAACACATCAAATCAGGGCCCCTTTGGCCTTTGTCCCTTTTAGCCCGCCACCTCTAAAAAGTCTCCTCTCTGGTGCTCCTGCTTAGTGACAGACATCATCATAGAATGTTTTCCCCATTTCAATATGGCAATATGTGGCCACTGTGACCTCCAACACAAATCCCATGTCATTTACTTTTGAGATGTGTAGTACATCAAATCTCAAACTAAGTTCTCTAATATGCCTCTCGAGCTAAGTTTGGCACTTGAACTGGAAGCAGTGACGGAGCTAGGTTAAAGCGAGGAGGGGCTATCTTCTAACTCTTGTCTGTTCTTTCCCATAGAAAGAGCAAGTGTAGTCAATTTGGCTGTGAGGGTGAGTAGGAGAGGAAGATTAAGACAGCCCACCGCCCGTCTTAACTCTTAAATTTGGTTTTGTCCAGTACCATACCACCACCACCGGCAATCTGCCATCAAAAGGAGTAGATATGTACTTCCCACCAACTAGGGGAAAAGCCAAAAACAAAGTGATGAAAGGTAGTTTGAAATCAGGTCATTAGATGATTTTTATTGTTTTTTGAACTGGGTCATTACTTGGGTAACAAAGTGATTAAGAAAATGTGTGTCACTTTCAAGGCTGATGTGGGAATTTACAGGCTTTGCTTTTCTCCCTTCTGTTTTCATTCATTCGGCTGTTCTTCATTCCCAAATATTCTAACAAAAGTTTTTTTTTTTTTTGCTTTTGTACACTGAAATATAAATTTGTCGGATAAGTAATGAGAACAATACAAACTAATGGCGGGAGTAAGCATGCTCTCTTCTATCCAAATTCACAAGCTGTGAGATCATCACTGGAGGAGAAGACCAAAAACTTTCTCCCAGACGAATTTCGCGGTCAAATTCAGATATTACATCTTTCACTGAGATAGTTGTTCACCTTATATATCTACATCTCTACATCCACCCAATAAATAAAAGCTAAATGAGAAAATTTGAAGTCTCATTTCAAATTTCCTATATCCAGAGTGAAGATAGAAAGGGTAGATTCATCTTCACAATCATTTATTATTTTCTTATTTGCAGAAAAAATTCATCAATTATGAGTAGAGACTGTTATCGATGAGATGGGTTAAAAAGAACATGTTCCGTTGGAAGGGAGAAAAACCGAAGGGACGTGGGTTTGAAAATTAGTTTTTATATTATTTATAATTTCCAACATACTCTTGACAACTAATAACTCCTCACTAACTACCTAAAATCAAATCAACCAATCACAACGCTTTAAGATCCTCCTAAGGAAGGGGGCTTAAGGACCTGAACTCAGGCCCGCCTCTTGTGGTTAATGTTGGTGTACACAATCTCCTAGAAAATAGGCAAAATACAGCTGTATATCCACAACTATCAGGTTTGTGACAAATATTTCCACAACTATCGAAATACACGAAATACCATTTCCGTCCACTCCGTCCACTCCGTTAGTTGACTTGATGACTGGACAGACGGTGGATGCTTAGTTGGCGTGTTTCTGACCCCCACTAAATGACGTGGATTAAAAGAGAAAAAAAATTAGGCAAAATACAGTTGTATATCCACAACTATCAGGTTTGTGACAAATAAATCCACAACTATCGAAATACACGAAATATCCAAAAATCGGAAGGTTGTGTGACAAATCTATCCACTTACGTCTGAAACTATAACGGCGTGTCAAACGGCGTTAAATTAACTAATGTAATGCTGAATCGATGCCATCTCACCTGCCACATAAACCAAACAGCAACCAAACTTTACACCGTTATTTGTTAGACCTCGCTGTTGCAGTCTTCTCTGTTGGCAATTTGGTTAGATTCAAACATTTTTTGTTTGAGATTCAATCTTGGTATCACCATGGCGCCGACTGCATGGAAGCCGTCGGAGTAAAAGGGAGGCAATGGTTGGGGATTGTGGTAGAGTTATTTGGGGGTAGAGGCGTCGATCGTAGGAGGATTAGTGGTTATCGGGCGTGTTTCTGGGTTGGATTTTTAGTCTCTTCGTCTGTGATTTTTAGTGTTTTAAATATTTTTCTCTTTTAATCCACGTCATTCAGTGGGGTCAGAAACACGCCAACTAAGCATCCGCTGTCTGTCTAGTCATCAAGTTAACTGCCGGAGTTAACCGAATGGACGAAAATGGATATTTCGTGTATTTCGATAGTTGTGGATATATTTGTCACAAACCTGATAGTTGTGGATATACAACTGTATTTTGCCTTTATTCAACTAGTCTATTTGGCATCTACGTGTAAAGTTTGGTTGCTTTTTGGCTTATGTGGCAGGTGAGATGGCATCGATTTAGCATTCCGTTAGTCAATTTAACGCCGTCTGACACGCCGTTATAGTTTCAGACGGAAGTGGATAGATTTGTCACACAACCTTCCGATTTTTGGATATTTCGTATATTTCGATAGTTGTGGACATACTTGTCACAAACCTGATAGTTATGGATATATAACTGTATTTTGCCTAGAAAATACTCGTACTAAGCTTACGATGAACTTACTATCCTCTTGCCTAGCAGGCAAAGATTTACCTCCGTGGAAAGGATGATTCATTCGGATCGACATGAGAGTCCAACTACATTGCATTGCCAGAATCTATGTTTGTATATTTGAAAGAGGTTGACCTCCTTGCTTCTCTCATGGTACAATCCTCTTCTCGCTGAGCCCCTTTTTCCTCGGTCCACATGTGTTTATAAATTTCTCAAATTTTAAAACTACATCGTGGTTCATCGTAAATATTATTAGAGATTACTTGATATTTCTTTCCCGTCATTTGAGTAAATTTCTGCCTATTTGTCTGGTTACATTACTGATCATTACCCATTACTGGAACGGGCATGAATTATATGTCGCTTTAATGAAAGTTTTTGTGTAAATTGCCAATTCGATGATGGATAACGCACTTCGAAAAGTTTAAACAACCCACTCAAGAGAGAAAAGGATGAACGAAAAGGAGGGAGAGACTAGAGAGTTCACAGTAAATGACACTAATGTTTCCCTTCATTATGAGCCTCAAATCGCCAAAAAGGAGAAGAAAAAAAAAATCCAAATCTCACGATTCCTTACAGCAAGTATTTTCTTTACTATTGTACACAGCCTATCAAGACCCAAAAAAAGGGATTCAAAGAGAAAAGAGTGAACCTCAAAATGGGGGAGTGAAGAACCAGAACTGTGAAAGAAGTGATTCATTTTGATTTTTTGACAACATATATATGCATATATCTCTCTCAAACTCTCTGACTGAGCAAAAAATATAATTCCGGCACCCAAAGACCCACACAACATGCTCTCCTTTCTCAACTTCAAATTACAATCATGGACACCAAAGATTTCTCTTAAAACTACGCCTACAGAAGAAGTAAAGAGCAGATTCTCGGTGGGAGCCGGGTGGGGGCTAAAGCAAAGACAAAACAGGAAGAACTCGTACATGCAAATGATGCTGCTGGGAGTAGGTTTCTTCACAAATCGCGAGGGAAGTTGTTGATTTGTCCTTCCTCCAACACATCCTTGCCGTCGACCTTGTACGCTATCCTTAAGCGCATCACAAGTGGTTTCTGGAATCAATACAGAAAAAAAAATTGGTGTCATGACATCTGAAAATCTCATTTCAGCAACTTAATCAAGACTGGGAAGCCAGGAGAAGCAAACAGGAAAATCACAGGTGGTCTGTGGTTCAGGGCCTGCGTGGGCCATACCTTCCCGTGTTGGCTATTTGTGACTTTCAAACTCTGTGTGATGGTCCCATTACCGCTAGCAGGTAGGCTGTTACCGCTAGCTGGATCTAAGTGAAGTTGCAGAAACTGAACAAATTTGGGTTCCATCCGTGAGAGAACAAGGAGTCAGCAAGGAAGGCAACAAAACTGAAAGAGGAGAAATATAAAGGCCTCGGAATGGCATTTACCTTTGGAACTGCAGCCTGGAAAACAAAGTCCGTGAACAAATTAGATGACAAGTTTGTGAAAGTGCCAGAAATCATTGTCGTCTGAGGGTTCCCAGGTTGCTTTGAGAAGTTGAAGGTTAGCCGCAATGAGCTGCTCTCGAATGCAACTATGGATGGATAAGCTGGACCGTTCTCCACTGTTCAGAAACAACAGTAATGAGTGGTCTCAAAAGCGGAAAGGACACAACGAGATGTAACTATAAGGCGACTAGACTCTTTACCAGGCTTTGGTGGAGCTGGATCTAAGCCATCCAACAAATCCATCATATTGGAAGCTGTAGAGGAAGTGGTATGAGTAAGGGAAGGTGCTGCGAGCACATCCAACGAGGCAATTATGGGTTTATTATCTTGTCCAGAAGACAAGATGTCGGGTGTGGATAAGTTGTTGTCTTGTGCAGGAGTTGATCCAATAGATAACAGATCTAATAAAACATCTGTTCCAGCCTTTGGCGTTTGATTTGTACCTTCAGAGGACAACAAAAAAAAATTACAGCTTATCAAGACTATAGCAGCTCATAATGAGAACTCGTAAACTCTTCAACCTATAGCAAGTGTAAAGGACCCAAGACAAGGCATAGCAGATGACAATGCCTAACTAAAGTGGCAACTTAGATGTCCAACTCTAATGAAAAATCCAGAAAAATATAGGATATTGTGAAAAAAACGGAACACAAGTGTAGCGCTGGCAGTAGAGATTGCCAAAACAAGCTGAGAAGAGATTAAAAAAGTGACTGCCAATCTGGAATGAGCCTCGTGGTTATGGTGGAAACACATGATTACCGACCATTTCAAATACGAATGCAACAGGTTAAACCACAGTTGATATCACACTGACCTGATTGTGTGGCAGGTGGTAAATTAACACCAAGTAGATCCTGAAGAAAATCACCCCCAGAAGAGCTAGGAGCAGGTACATCATCGGAAAGATCAAGCAAGTCTACAAGAGGAGCTGCAGAGGGCTTAGCAACTCCATTTGGAAGTTTCACTGCAGTGCCACTGGAAGTTGAAACAGTATTTGGCAAAGAACTAGCTCTTCTTCCACCAAAGGTAGCTTCATCCAACACTGGCATCCGTTCAACCAGGGCAGATCTGCAAAATCAATGATCAGAATTACCCTGGGAAGATATCGCAATGACAGCACATAAATTAAATCTAAACATGGATCAGGCAAAATTATAATAGCACACCTAATATTCTGGTGCTTCTCAATTATGGAGTTGAATTCAAGCGACCTTTGCTGCAGTTCAAGCACTAGACTTCCTTTGTGTTGCACAACTATGTCCTTGATCCTCCTGCACAGCAAAGAACAAAATCTTTGAGCAGCAGCCAGTACCTTCAGATGAGATGCATTAAACCCCTAATAGATGTTGCATCAGCAATATCATAAGTCATAACATGACTACATATAAATGATCTTATACAAAATGAAAACTAAGCCACATCTCATCCGAAGGTACGCAACTTTTTATGCAAATGACAGAACTTTGAAGCTGCAGCCTATACCTTCAGATGAGATGCATTAAACCCCTAATATGTGCTGTATCAGCAAATTTCATAACATGACTAAATATGAATGATCTTATAGAAAATGGAAACTAAGCCACACTATCAAACTTGATGCCATGTTGATTTTTGTCCCTCTAGAAAACCTTATCAACTTGAAATCACAACATTCTGTGGACTAGTGTCGGGGCCGAGTCCAACATGAAGAATCATGCACGTATTAACTGCATGGAATCGTCCAGTCTTCAACAACTTTAAGCAACTTCATTTCAAGCAAACACAACTTAGAGGTTGAGTCGATAGATAACGGAATACAGTGAGGGGCTAGAATTAAAAAAAGTAATATGAGAAAATTACCCTGAACAAGATGGAAAACGTGAGGATAGCTTCAATAGCGCAATCAATGCCATCGATTTAGTGGTCAGATCAGAGGCATGGCGCTTTATTGCGCTCTCAACAATATCAACAGCATCAGACTCAGTTACCTGCTTAGAGAAGGAACATTG